CCCCCCCCAGCTCTGTTGGAGGGGGCCCCCAGCTGCCAGGGCTATGGGGCCAGGGACCCAGGTCCACAGCCTCCTGCAGAAGTATCTGGGCCCCAGGTGCTACCCATGGAAGGTAGCAGCTGCTACAGTGGAGCAGAGCACAGAGCCTGGCTCCTCCTCCCCCATGGGTGGCACAGCTTTAGTGGAGCCCATTGTGGGGTGTGGATGCAGGCTGCCTGCTTCAGGCTTGGGGCTCCTCGCCCTGTAGCCCTCCCCCTGGGGCCTCCACACACAGTGACTGGGACCCAGCTTGGTAGTGCAGAGTGGAGCAGAGTGGAGTCGGCCAAGGAAGCCCTGTGGCTCCATCCTGCTCCCTGCTGGGGCCCTGCTGCCTCACTCCCCACCAAGACCCTGCAGCAGCTCTAGCCCCAGCTCCAGCCCCACCCAACTCCCTCCCTCCCCTCCCAACAGGGGCCTCAATCACCACTCCCCACTGCCAGACTTACCTGCGAGAGCTGCTCTCCAGGCTGCCTGGCATGTGCGTGTGTGATGCACATGGAGCCCCATGCCTGAGTGCCCTTGCCCTGCTCCCCCCAGCCCCTTGCAGGATGGAATTCCATCCTGCGGAGACCTCTTTGCAAAAGTGGAAAATCTGCATTTCTCTCTGTTAAAAGGGAAAATCCATATTTTTTCTGTTTTTCTGCAAGAAATGGGAAACCCAGATCCCTGCTAATGAGCAACCCCTGTGCTCTGATCAGACAATACGTCTGGCTGGTCGGACAGGGAGCGGCTTGGGGGGGGGATAAAAAGACTGTCCTTCAGGCTAGAAGAAGGGGCAGTCTAGCCCTTAGTGAGAAGGAAGCAGGACTCCCAGGCAGACCATGGTGGTATCCCAAAGTTCAGGAAAGGCAGCCCTTGTGGGTAAGGACAAAGAGGGTTTGTTTTTTTTCCCCTTCTCTCCTTTTTACCCCCTGAGTGGTCCAACAAAGGAGAAGGATTAAGTTTATGTTGCTTTTGGTTGGGAACACCCAGAGGAGTGGATTTAAGCTGGATTTAAGTTAGAAAACACTAGAGGACCAGAAGCACCTGTGAGGGGAGGTGGAAGCAGCACTGCACACGCATTAAAGCGCTCCACAAGTCTAGCTCCTTGTAGGCAATGTAGTAATAGTGTGGCCATATCTATGAGATACGTTAAGTGGGCTAATCAGCACTAGTGAAAGATAGGACCAGTTAGTCTGCCCCCATACAAATTAACCCACCTAGAATACCATGTAAACACAGCTATGCTGCTGTCAGTTTAGGAGCAGGCAATGAGGAGCAGGGTGGCATGCTTGAAGATGTTGCTGATGAGCACAATAAGTATACCATGTAGATGTGACCAAAGAGAACAATTCATCACTGACTTCTTTCTAACAACTATTCATATTGAAAGGCTTATGTCCCGTCCTTCAACTTCCTCTTAATTAGAGAAAACAAACATAATACATTTAAGGTCATGCTTTCCAAACTTCTTACTGTTCTCATTGCTCTCTTCTATGCTTTTCCTAAAATGGGATAACTAAAACTCGACATTTTATTTCAGCTGAATCTTCAACAAGACCAGGCAAAGTGCAGCAATTGCCGCCCATGTCTTACAGGCAGCATTTCTTGTAAAGCATCTCAGAAAAAGATTTGGCTTTTTTTGAAACAGTACCACATTGTTGCATCTTATTCACTCTGTTACAGTATCATCCCAGTTATTTTTCATTTCATAATTCTGAATGTGGTTTCTCCAATTTAAGTGCAATATTTTGCACTTATCTTTTTACTGACTTTAATCTTACAGATTTGGGCCATATCTCCAATGTATCAAGATCATTATGTATTCTGATCCGGTGCTCCATAGCATCTGCATGTATTCTCAGCTTGGTGTCACCCATTAATTTTATAAGTGTATTCTCTATTCCACCAAAGTTATTAATGAAAATAAATTTAACAAAGCTGAAACCAGGACAGGCACTTGTTATGATGCAAATAACATGTCCTCCCAATCTGACATGAAGCCACTGGTAAACTACTCCTTGAACCTAGTTTTCAATTTGCACCCTCAGAAGGGTGATAACAATGTTATCTAGACTCTGCTCCCTTAGTTTACCCTTTCAACATAGTACAGTTCTGTAGCATCCATACCTCATGTTTCATTTGGAAATTTTGCACCAGGTTGAGATCTGTGAACATTCGAATTGTACACAGCGTTGTCTCAAAATCTGAAAGCTCAAAGTCACTGAAATTGAAGTCAGTCAAGTTGAGAGATTGTGCAGATGGCACTACAGCAGCCTGGAAGAACATAAATGAAAATGAATTGAGCAGTGACAAATCAGAGAGTATGCAGTACTCGTGTCTTTTTGCATCAGACAAACATCACCACACTGAAAATGTCACCTTTGTGCTAAAAGCTGGTGACTACACCCTATTATTTATCAGTTTCTTTGTTTAACATTAATTATGTTTGATTCACAGAATTAAGTCAACAGGTTTACCCTTACCCTGGGCTTTTCTTCTGTTACCTATATATGCTAGGGTGACATCATGCCGCTGATTTTCAAAAGGTTTTAGTAGCAGTCCTCTACCAACCTATAGTAAGTGTGTGCAAATGGTGATTTTTAGAACAGCAAAAAGGTACCTCTCTGACCCAAAGCCCTTGTCAAATTCCTACCAAACATTTCAGAATCATGAGAGTTCAAAAAAGAAACAGATGGAAAAAATACTTTTCTCCCAAGTTCATTCTCAGAAGTGGAGAAGTGGCTAGACCCATTCTCACTGAGACTTTAAACAGAAAGAGAAAAATAAAGCGCCACAAGGCAGATAGCAAGCACAGAAAATTTCAGCCTGTGCATGGGGTTAAAGTTCAGCAAAGTTATAAGCAGCTGAAAATACGGGACTATAAGAGGAAGTGTCAGGCTACTTTACGTACAGATGTCCCTGCCTGCTTTATTTACGGTGAAAGAAAAAAATCTAATGCACTAATTCATAATATTTTAACAGTAGTCATATAATATACTCTTAGTTCAGTAAGGTATGTGCCAAAGAGCATTTTCTCTCTTATCTTCCAGACACATACTTGTACCGTCCCTTCTCTGATTTCTGATTTAGCTTGGATTTGGATTGTAAGGTTCTGCGTGCAGGGCCTGTCTTTCACATTACTCAGCAAGCCACTTATACAACTATAGCAAAACAAACACATGCAGAGCCAACATTATAACCCTGGTCTGACCTTTGAGGTTCAGCCTATGAAGTAACAGATGTGTTTTTCTTGGGGTGTTACTGCTTTTACACTAGGAGTGACTTCTCTTTTTAATAAAAGACCCTTAAAAACTGCTAGGAAGAGGATCATCCAAACTGCATGACTCCTTTTATCCGATTCTGTTCAATCCCATCCTCTGTCCTATACATTCTTCAGCATCAATTTTAGATGCCACAAAGCCAAACCTCTCTCCTTCGCTCGTGACACAGAATCCAAGCTGACCCACCACAGGCTTAGTAAACATCTCTCCAGTGACCTGGAAACCACACTCTATTTTCAGATCTGCTACCTACCACAAAGTCAAGATATCCAATGCTACATGTTGTCACATTAACATTAATTACTTGCAACACGAAAAAAAGCAGCTGACACCGCTTTCAGTAATCACCACCATTAATAGGAGCTTGGTTTGGTAATCATCATGTTATCGTATACTCTCATTATGTCACATTACAGCCAGGATTGATTGGGACAATCTGGGAATCTGCATAGAGCTAACAAATTGTTTGATACCGGAAACTCTGCACAGTGTCAGTGTGCAGAGTCCAGATTTTTACTACCCTCTGTGTTTTGCTACCCTGCTGAGCTAAAACTTATAGGTGGTAACAAGAGAAATTCTTGCACCTTGCTCAAGGTAGGTTGTTACATTTTTATGTTCTTCCGTTTAAACGGCACACTGTCATACAAAAAGATAACTGTTGCCCACAACACCAGTTTTTGAAGTATGAAATCTAGGTGGTAGCAACAAAGAACTGGACCACATGGTTGGAGACTTGGATCATGTGGCAAAGGGTGTGGCTGGCCCTTATCAAGCAAAATGGATCAATTGCTATCTGTTGAGTAGTGGAAAGACTCCAATAGCAGCAATGAAAGGGAGAAGGACAGGAAGTGGGAGATAAAAATGAAGATTAGACCAGATTAGAAGCAGAAAGTTGGTTGCAGGAGCAAAAGGAGACTATATTGCAGAGGAGAAGCTGTGGAAAGAAGGAAGGAACCTGGATACTTTAAGTCAGAGTTTAAAACCTCTGGCCCAACCCCAAGAATTCACAAGAGGGGTGAGGCAGCTGAAACGAGAAAATGTATTTAGAGGCTTTGCTGTTTTGTCTTGATCTCTCTCATGATCTCCAAACTAAAGGGTAATTGTGTTACAAACCTTTGCAGAGCCTATGCAGATGTGCTTCAATTACTGTAGGTCTCCGAAGAGATGGACTATAGCCCAAAGTGCCCACAAGCTTAGAACTCTGAGAAAGGGTAAACTTAAAGATGGGTTGGGCAGGAGTCAGCAGCTGTCTTGGGGGCAAAGGGGAAGGTTCCACTTTCAGAGCTGAAAAAATAGTCTGTGTCCAGAAAAGCTAAAGGAAAGAAGAAGTGTATGCAACTGCCCAAATTAGGGACAGTGCAAGGACAGCTGGGTTCACTGAAGCAGCATCCAAACAGCAGCCTGATGAGCATTCAGAAAGGAAGCTTTCCTGGGGCTGTGACAATGATCAGTTCAGTTTCAAAGAATGAGAGATTTTCACCCAAGCAAGCACAATCACAGACTAAAACATGGCCAACTACCTCTCTCCAGAATGGAAGACTGTATTCCAAAGAGGGAGTAGGTGTCCATACCAATCATAACACTACTTGCAATTGTACAACTCAGATATTTCTCCTAGTAGAAAGGATATCTTTTAACTATCTCAATTTAGCTTTATTCCACACAACATTTTGTACCTTTTCAGTGTAATTCCTGTACTTAAATCAGGAATACAGAATCATGAAGCTAAGGTTATGGAACTGAGATAAAGAAAAAAAACACAACCCCACAACTATACATTATTTGCCTTAAGGTGGATCTAAAATAAAGGAAACAAAGTTATGTCCCACTTTGGGGGCCAGTAGAATATTCTCCAAGGGAAATAATCTAAACACACAGGAAACCTAGGCTAGGGACAGAAGTTACACATAAACTGGTATAAGCAATCAGAAAGCAGCTCAGACTGGAACACAATAACGCTAAGTAAAGACAATCAAAAGCTGGAGGCTGAATCAATTTAATTTTCATGGGTTAGTCCAAGCCACTCAGATTGAACCAATAAGCAAGTGAACAGACACTCACTTTTGATTCCAGAAATGCAGCCACATGTCTGCAGTGTCCCATGCCAGAAGCTGGGGGTGCTAAAGCACGCATCAGCTGGAGCAGACAAGACTAGCCCATCCACCCTGTGAGGGGGAATTTGTGTGGGAGGCACAAAGCATCCTGGGATGCTGGGGGCTGAGAATTCACTTGAAACTGGAGGGATCTGGAACAGAAGTTCAATAAACTAATTTAACCTAATCAATTAAGTCTGATACTACATCCATCCAGGTTCATCTTAAACCAGTTTCAGTCATTTTAAAAGCAGTTTATACGCACTGAACTTTTGTCGTATTACACATCTGAACCAGTTTCTGATCACTTATACCAGTTTATATGCAATTTCTGTCCCTAGGCTAGAAGTTCAGTGCACGTAAACCACTTTCAAAACCAGTTTAAGATAAACCTAGATGGATGCATACACACATGCAAACACACATACAAAGGCAACTTAAGTTAAGCCATGTTGGAGTGTACACATGTACAGCTCCTTGATATGGTGGCAGCCATCTTGTGAGCTAAGACAACTTGACTAATACGACTCAACTGTCAGAGCATACACATGTATATGAAGCAGAATCAACTTAAATGCAGAGGAAAATTATACACCTCAGAGCTATATTATCTTGAGTCAGCTTAAAAAAGTTAAGTCAGCTTAACTGTCACCAAGTCAGTACTCTGTGTATGTACGCAGACTGAACTGATTCAGGCTAAATCAGTTGATTGAATTCCTGTCCCAGATCCCCTCCAGATTCAAGTTAACTCATAGTCCCCCAGCATCCCAAGATGCTTTGCACCTCCTCAGCAAACCCCACTTCGCAGGTTGGGTAGACTAAACTTGGCCCAAGCTGTCTGATCCAGCCAAGGAGGGAGGCCTTAGCACTCCTTGGCTTTTGGCCTGGGCCACCGCAGACATGCGACTGCACTTCCAGAATCCAAAGTTCACTTGCTTATTGGTTCAGTCTATGCAATTCAGGCTAACCTGCAAAGATTGAATCAATGCAGCCGTGGGTTTTCTGACTCTCTGTACTTAGCCGTAATAACTTCTAAGTGATGTAGCGCTGGGGTGTTATACATGTTCCCACAAGCCAGATTCAGCCTACAGAACCATTCCATCCAACAGAAGTTGAGGGGCATGGCCTGCCATGGAACTTGGGGTCCCTGGACCCAGATGGCTGTAGTGATCAGCAGCAGCCACCTGGACTTGTGCTGCTGCCTAAATGGAGCTCCACACTGCTAACTGAATGTGACCCCACTAAAATTGCTGTTGGCTTGCAAATCTAGCCCAGGAGGAGCCCCTGTGGTCCACATCCATTCTAGGGCCTATGGTGAGTTTGATACTCTTCCCATAGCATTTTTAGTGTTTTCAACTACACGTACAATGATTTAATGAACTAGGAGCCACTGTTTAATTTTGCTTTCATTAAATCACCATGTTCTTCCACCTCCAAAGTACTGATAAAACAGAGATTACATTCATTCATTCAAGATGGTGAAGGTGGAATAGTAATTCCAAAGTTAGTGGAATATTATGATTCTCTGCACTGGAGCTTGTGCTCTTGTCCCCAGTAAAACAGAAGACATTTCAGAAAGACATTTAATTTGCCTGGGGCCATACTAAACTTGGAGAATATTATCCTGACTGCGTAAAGGGGCAGACAGGATATAACCCTGAGTGTCTGCTTGCATGTTTTTAAGAACGCCAAATGCAATGTTTTACTATATCACTGTCATTGCCACTGGGTACTGACCCTCAGAGGCACAGAAAGCTCTTTTAGCACCTGGGGCAGAGGTGGTGATGGGGAGAAAAGGAGTGGGGAGATGCAGGGAGAAGAGCAGAGTCTTACCTTCCCTAGCTCTGTTTAGTTGGTGGCAGCTGCTACTGTTGTGGTTGCTGCTGTAGTAGTGTGGGCT